GAAGTTAATATTGAAAATGAATGGATATCAGATAATGAAATATATAAAGTATTTTCTGAAAATAATATTAATTTCTCAACTCCTTATTGTACCATTCAAAAAATCCTTATTCGAGATAAAGGTATTGTATTCTGTAAAATATACAATAGGAACTTTAAAAATACTACAATACTTGCATTACAACATTATTTATAAGTTTTTAGGTTTCTTGGCAAATATATTTTGGAAAAACGATCTTAACATCAATCTCAACTCGATGATGCAGTTAAAAATGTTTGCTGATCTTCAATCACGTCATGACTTACCTTTGCTTCCATCTTGGTTTAGAAGTTTAGTTATCGATAGTGAAATAATCAAAAATATTAATCATGGATCGATGGTTTATATTACATTTGATACTCGAACTAATGTCATTAGAGGGCCTGGGATAGAAATTGAAACTTTAAAGACATCCATCTTTCCAACAATTGATCCAATGCCTATAAATTTGAATATTCAAAAAGTACAATTTATTGAACAACCTTATCCTAAAATTCAAGTAATTTTAATAAACTAATATTTTAAATTTAAATAGTAAAAATAATTTGTTTATCATTGTTATTGTTTATTTAGAATTTTGTGCAGTTTTTAAGCATTTGTGTGCAACTGGTCAAAAATACGGTACACTCGCCATCAAAGTTAAAAACAAAATTAAAAATTAATGATGCTTTATTTGTAGAATCATTTAAAAGGGTTTTTGAAATACAGCCATTTTTAAAGGTTGTAACTTATTTTTATTTATTTATTCATCAAAGATACTTATTTATTGCATTGTTTGTATATTAGGCAGATGTTGAAGAATACCATTCAAATTTTCAAATAACAGATTTAGCATCCAATCATGTATTACTTTTGGTAACTGAATATTTAAACGAAAAATTAAATAAAGATATAAAAAATTGCGCAGGAAAAGTATTTGTTTTGATAAAGAATTCAATTGTTGATGATACATATACCACAGTGGTTCAATATGAGCATAATGGTTCTATTTATCGTCTAATAACAAGACTAGTGAAATTACCGAACAAAATTTTGGAGGTTAGCACTAAAAACAGTTCATGGACAGATAACATAGAACAAGGACTTAAATTATTATCTAGTAACGTTTCGCCAATAGTTTTGATTAAAAATGATTCAGAAAATTCATTGCAAGTGGTGCAAAAAATTGAAAATATCAAATCTATGATTGATTTTAGGTAAACAAAATTATTATATTATATATTATCAAATATTGTAAAATAGAAAACTGATTTAAAATTAACCATTGCTTTCATTTTAGATATGTCATACTTTACGACGGTGTAAAATTGTTTGATTTGACCAAGAACTTCTTCAGGGAACAACTATTTAAAGGGTTAAGGCAAAACATATTAAAAAATAACAGCTGGGGAAGTTATACCATACTTCCTTGTATGGATAATCTTTCTACAGAGTTAAATACTAATGAGTTGCAAAAATATGTTAATCCCGAAAGGTTTGTATAAAAAACAAAACACTGTAAATGTTCTTCATTTTCTTTTTAACATTTATTTATTTTTAGTGAATTCTCCATCAAGTATATAGGATCTTTTAAAACAAATTTAATGGTAACAAATACTCATTAATATTTCAATAAATGTATTGCTGTATATTATATTATATTTAATGATGGTATTGTTAATTAAGGAAGATGAAGTATGTACTCAATACTCGGGTATAGACAATGAAGGAAAAAGTATAATGGGTATTTTAAAATATAAATGTAAAAATAAGCGATACGAAATCGATAATATTCTAAAGTGGTATGTAGATTCTGAAATGACCTTGGAAGAGTCAGTAATGTGTCCATTAGCTTACTCAATGGTAATTATTATTTGAATTTAGTTTTCATGAAGTTTGAATTATATTTCAAAATTGTTACAGGCTTACTATTGTATTGTAAGCAAAGCACGTGTTAAATTTGGAGATTCAATTCTTATACATAATGGGTGTTCACAAGATGGACAAGCATTTATAAGAGTTGCCCTTGGTTTTAATTGTAAGATCTACGTAACTACATATAATAATGAGCAATCTGACTTTATAAAAAGTGTATTTCCAAAGGTAATGAATAATATAATCTTCAAAAATAGTTTTAGAGACTTAACATTAAAACTTACATAAATGAAAAACATTGAATTCTTGCAAAAATTAATAGTTGAGTAGCGGCAACATACTAGATCTCAATAACAGCAAGTTTGAAATACAGCTAATGAGTTTAACAAAGGGAAAAGGATGTGACATCGTTATCAATGCTATACCAACTGAATTCCTGTTGGCTTCTCTTCGATGTGTTAAACCGTTTGGCTCATTTATACACATAGGTTCACAAGATGTGAACGTGCATACAGAAATTGGTAAGAATGATGGTTAAAATAGAAGTACACCTAGGTACCTACCTATATTTGAATTTATTTATTTTCCACAGGCATGAATATGTTTTTAAAAAATATTTCATTATACGGTGTACAAGACTTATTAAACATAGTTAATTCTCCTATCGAAACCAAAAACCATCTGAGGCAGCTTGTTGAAAATGGTATCAAGGATAAAATAGTTAGGAAATTATATGAAGAAATATCAAAAACAAATAAAACATCTACTAACAAGTACGATATAAAATTTGATTGTGATTGAAATTGTTTTTTTGTATTTTATGAATTTATTGTAATATTTTTTTATTTAGTGTCCATAATTCAATGAAACTAATTGAAACAAATAACTCAGATCATAGTTTTGTTAAAAAAGAAATGGCATACATAATTATTGGTTCTGCGACGAATTTATGGATTAAAACAGTTAACTGGCTTCTTCAACAAGAGGCAAAAAAATTGATATTTATCATTGATGGTACCAACTCAGTAATGAGAAGGAGTCAAAGAACTATATATTCACTAATTCAAAAGTACTCCGATGTTTCGTTTATCATGACTTCGGCTGAAAGGTTTAATACTACAAAAGAGGGGGAAACATTGCTACGGGAATTCGTATCATATTCAAAAATTGAAGCTTTGTTTTGTGTAGAAACGGTATGTTAAGTTACATAGTATAACATTATAATATAAATGTATGCAAAAATATTTTTTAATTGAATATTCTTGTTTAGAGTGACACAAAATTGAAGAACATTGATAAAGCTTGTAGAAATGTTTTACCAGACTTAAAACATTTCATATGCATGCAGAGTGATGCGATCGAAGTCTGTGAATCAAGAAGCAACGCAAATTATAATTGTATTAACGTGCAGTGTGATAAATCCGTTCGAAAACCAGAAATCATATTAAAGTACATGAATAAATTGGTGGACACTGTAAATGATTCTAAGCCCATTTCTGTAATTTTTGATGATCCGTTAATATCTGAACATGGTTAGCTTACGATCTAAAATACTAAATTTTTATGTTTAATCATAAATACATTTTGATAATATTTTTGATAATATATATATATACCTATATACATTGTTTTATTTTCTTAGACAACTTTGATTCAACCTCAGAATATTTACCAAAAACCATCAAAGAATTACTTGACCTTAATATAGATTTGCCAGAATATCCACGATTTGAACAATGTACATCCAAAAGTATTCCAAATACTGGTAATAATAGTCTATTACCAGTGTTCATTATTCCTGGATTAGGAGTTTCGCGGATACAACCTTTAATCAATCAAATTATGCATCCAGTATTTTGTGCTAAATTTCCGTCGTACATTAACTCGATCGAAAATGCAGCGCTAGGTTTACTATGGGTAACTATCATATAATTAATCTCAATATGTTCATAGTGTAACAGTATTTATTTGTAGCCTTTGAAACAAATTCAATTGGAAGGACCATTCACGATTGTCGGCGAAACATGGGGTGGAAATATTGCGGTGGAGCTTGCAAAGATAATGGAAGGATTTGGTGAAACCGTCAATCTTTTATTACTGGATGGCTGTCCATCTGATAATAAAAAGCGTTTAAAACTTGTAGATAACTTCGATTTTGAACAATTGAGTGGAAATTTGGAAGCAAAGGTAAACTATGTTACCAGAGTTAAAATCACTAATAACAAACTTCAAGGGACCTTGTAAAATAATTTGTTTCTTCAAATATATCCACAACCCTCAAAATAAAATTAAAAATAATTTATACAATTTATTAATTTACTTAAAAAAATGTTCGCTATCATCTAAAACTTATTGTGATATAAATATCATGAAAGAACATTTAAATCATATTTTTTAAAAAAAAATTGTCTTTACCGATGACATAAAAATGCTATAAAAAAATTGTAATATGTTCAATTATAATATATATTAATCAATATTAACTACACAACAATTGTATATATTAAATATGTGTTCAATATGGTTTTTCTAAGGAACCAAGTTATGAATTTATTTAATTTATATTACATTTTTCTAGGAAAAAATTAATAGTTCGATAGACGTGCTTATGAACCAATTAAGTGCAGTAAGAGATTTCATTCCTAATAATACTCAACTTGCAGCGAATACGATCATCGCTAGACCATCTACTTCGGATATTTTGGACTCCTGTATTAACTTTGAAAAAGTATGTTTACAAATATTTATATAATATAGATAATACATTTGGTTTGTTTAATTTTACCATCTTTTTATATTGCATTTATAAATTATTTTCTTTTTACAGAACCATTGTGGCAAATTAACAGTACACATTTCTAAGAAGTCATCGTACATTGAATTTATAAATAGTTTAGAAGCTGCTGCTATTATAAATGAAAATGCATCGTTTAAGTGGTAGTTCAATAAAATATTTTGTGGCATATTGTGTTATAAAATTAATGTAGAAAATCATTTATTACTATACAAATCTTAAAATGTTTTAAAATTGGAAAAAATTAACTTAATTAAAATCCTAATATTATGTAGTTTTTATTGTTATATATATATATATATAATTATATGATTTATCCAATGACAAATGATGGCACATCTCTGAATTGGAACTCGTGTGGTCTCCACGGCTCTTGTAAAGCATTCGTGAGCCACCCGTCCAAGGGTGTAAGATGTTTCCTTACCCAATCAACTTGAATCTTAACTTTCTCCAGTGCATTTTTTATGATATCATCCACAGAAACAAAATGACGTTTGTTTCTTTGATAAAACTCGGTGGCCTATAAATCAAACACATAATTTAAGGTATTATACTTTATTTACAAATTTATACTTTGATAATCACTACAAACCTTATCTAGTCCTTCTTCTGTCCTAAAATTGTTAAATGACGTTTTAACAAAATATTCCCATACAGTCTTTTCCAACCTAAAAACCACAACATTATTATTATAATTTTTCGAAGAATACCATTATTTTCATAAAGGTATCATAATTATTATATTAATTACTTAGTGCTTAGATATTCGAAGTTTTTCATCATGAATTTGAACATTGTTTCGTGTCCCAGTGATACCGTACTCATAACAGTCAACATTGTTAACATATCCTCCTCGCTAAACTTATGATCTCCACTCATCAACGTCAAATTTAACATTCTTTTATATATAGATATCACAAATACAATTTAAATATTATTTAGTTTATATTATTTTCAACATTTTTGGTTTAACATTTTGTTACCTGACAAATTTTGTTTCATTTTTAGGACAGCTAGCTAACGATCTGAATATAAATAATCTTTCTGTTTGAGACTTATTTTTTGGATAATACATAATCCTATGTAATCCAAACTCCCATTCATCCAGTGTTCCATATCCAAGAAGTATACACAGGTAGTTATCCAAGAATCTATGATTATTAATAAGAATGTGTAACAGACAAAAACAAAACTGTATAATTAAGTCATAAATATGATTAGTGATTACATAACCATGCGGATCTAGGTGGTCTAGACTCTAGAAGTTCGAAATGTACTACCTAATAAAATTTATTTTTTAACAAATTTTTTTTTTGTTACTTTAGTTTGGTCCTTAATCATAGGTTTGTGCTAATTATCAATAGGTATATCAGTATATTTAGACTACATATTATATAACTTTAAAATTATTTCAAAGTATAATGGGTACACAGGGGTTTTCATTTTGTCGTTTAATACTTTTCTCATACATCCGTAGTTTTTTGTTTGATTGTAAAATTCTTCAGTTTTAAAAATGTTTTTTACTATATTTCTTTTTATTTGTATAATTTGTGGTTAAAGTGGAAAAATAGGTACTATACATGTGCAATGAGTAGAACAATGAATGTATTGATTTTAAAATGATGTGTGTTTTTTAAATTTTTTTTTTTTGTCTGTCATCACCTTTTAGGACGGTAAAATAGCATGAATTTTCTTCGACAGTTTCTTTTTTGATAGGAAAGTGAATCTAGTTATTTGTTTGGGGGTCAAAAGTAAAAATTTTCCATTAGTTAAGAAAAATTAAGGGAAAACGGTAATTTGTAAGCAAAATCTGTTTTCGAAAAAATCGATTTTGGTTTTTGGTGCAACTCTTAAACAAATGAACTTAGGTACATGGAATTTTGACTGAATGTTTATATTAGCATTTTCTATAGACCATAACATTTTCCAAATATTTTGACTTATTTTGAGCTCTTTACGGACATTTTCAGTTTCCATTTTTTTTCAGTTCTTTTTTCTATAAATATTAATTAAATTTTATTTGGTGGTTAAAAAAGCTTGAAAATTTAATAGAAGGCTACTAGTATATTTTTCAAAGGTAGATGAAAAAAATTAAAAATCCTAGGTGACAATTTTTTTTTATGAGCATTTATGTTCAAATATTTACAAAATACTGAAAAATGACGAAAATTTACAAATTATTTTGAGTTAAAAATTCAAAAAAAATTTTGTTTTGAAGTCTAAGATTTGAAATTTTAATACAAGATTCTTCGTAAGTTTGCCTACATCTACATTTATCAAAAAAAAATGTCTACATGAAACTCAAATTGAATTTTTATGAGCGTTTAAATTCGTATTTTTACAACATTTGATATTCACTCGATTTCTCTTGTAACGATTTTCTTATTTTATTATAATTGAAAAACGAATGACTATAGATACTAGAAAATTTTACTGAATATTTATATTAGCATTTTCTATACATGATAAAATTTGACTGTTTTTAAGTTGCTTCCGGATATTGTCAGTTTTCAATTTTTTTAGTTTTTTTTTCTATAAATATAAATAAAATTTATTTGTCGATTAAAAAAGAGTGAACATTTAATGCAAGGCTCCTGATAAATTGTTACAATAGAAAATGAAAAATATTAAAAATACATAGTCACAATTTTTTTTATAAGTATTTAAAGTTCATATCTTGACAAAATACCGAAAAATTACGAAAGTTAGCAAATTATTTTGAGTTGAGATTTCATAAAAAAGTTTCTTTTTAAATCTAAGATTTGAAAATGTAATACAAAATTACTCATAAGTTCATCTACCTTTATCAAAAACAAAATGTCTACATGAAACTCAAATTGAATTTTTATGAGCGTTTAAATTCGTATTTTTTCAATATTGGATATTCACTCGATTTCTTATGTACCGTTTTTGTTATTTTATTGTTATTCAAAAACGAATAACTGTAGATACATGAAAATTTTACTGAATGTTTATATTTTATTTTTCTATAACCATATAAATTTGAAAATATTTTGACTCTTTTTGAGCTGTTTACGAGCTGTTCCGTTTTCAATTTTCTTAGTTTTTTCTTCTATAAATATCAATAAAACTTTATTTGTTTTTCGAAAAAGCATGACTATTTAATGCAAGGCTTTTGATATATTGTAACAATAACAGGGGAAAAATATTAAAAATACATAGGAACAATTTTTTTTATAAGCACAA